GACTTTGGGTGATTTTAGGCGATTTTGGGTGATTTTAGGCGACTTTAGGCAAAATCGAGGACATGTCTTATTGGCGTTGGTTAAGTTAAGTCTGCTGAAAAGAAACCTCATTAGACTCTGACCAGTTCACTGACAAAATTATCTTCAAGGGGGCACATAGTTGCGGGAACCACTAAGTATTTTCATAAAATACAATACAACGGTAACTCTGAATAAAGTATTTGACCAGTGCTTAGCCCTATCTGCTGTTCAAAGAAGCACTTGCCATTCATAGACAAAAGCCGGAACTTAATCGTGGCACTAAAGCATCAAGAGAACTATCGGTTTTCTTTTAATACTATCAAATTACATTGAGTATATATAACGCTTGCATATGTAATATAATCATTCCTGATGATGTCTAAATAAAGTCGAAACGTTGAATAAAAATATTTACTTTATTCGGAGTTACCGTTGTATTGTATTTTGGGGGACAGAGATAATTTATATTTTAATAATTAACAGTATACAATTAGTACAATTCAAATAATATGAATTAGTACTATTAGTGAAATGAAAGCAAGTACATATTTCCCCATTAAATATAAATGTATGGGTGCTGTGCACTGTGACATATTTCTTCAAAATCAAAGTGCTCAGTTTAAATAGTTTATGTGTGTATGATTTCCACTCGAAATTAAGACCCATTAACCCTCTAGAATTTATCCTACATCGAGTGAAGTGCCACAAACATCTAGATTTATAAGAAACATTGCTGCTCAAATAATGTACAGCAATTTAATTAACGTTCAAAACACAGTAAAGAAACAAATAAATTTTTAATATGAACGGTATTCCTAAACTAAAGGCAGTACTCGTGAATTTTACAAATTATATTTACCTATTTGGCTATTTCTTAATGATTCTATTTGGACACCCTTGTCTTTGGTCTTTTAATACTGTAATGGGTATACATTTCAGCCATTTCAACCTGCCTAATACACATTTGTTGCTGGAGAAGGCCAATTTTGCACTCAGGTATTTTATTTGCAATCCATTCGAACAATTTGGCTCGATCCATAGATATTTTCTTTATTTCTTTCATGGTTGTATGAATATTCGAAAACAAAATGTATTTATGTAATCGAGTTATCGAGATCTATCTGATCTTCAACGACAACTGGTCAGTGTTTCCACAACCGCTTGGTCAAAAATCCTTTTACAATCTCCAAAATTCCTTTTTCCCCACAAAATTTCCTTGCCACCCGAACGGTGGAAAAAATCAAGAAAATTCAGACAAATTTGAGGCAAATATATCATAGACCCTACGAGAAATCGAGCATCAATACATTGCCTGAAAATTTGGGCAAGTTTTCAAGAATTTCAAATTTTGAAATTTATAGTCCCTAGATTGCCGGAAATGGCATTTTCAGATTAATATTCTGTACCTCTTTGTTAGACCTATACTATTAATAAGTTGATTTTTACTGGTTTAAGACTGGCAACTGGTATAAGTTACAGAATCCTTGCAATTTCCTTTAATTTTTGTATTTTTCCTTGCCATTTCCTTGTAAATTTTATTTCCTTGTAAATTCCTTGCAAGGACCAATATTTCTTGCTGCAGGGAAAAATCCTTGCAAGTGGAAACACTGAACTGGATTGCAAAAGTAGGTTAAGTTTACATGAAGTACCTCGTATAACAACGACAAAAGCGCCCAAATCAATGGCCCGTTTTTTGACCACCTACTTGCAGGCTGTACCAAATCACTCCACTGCTGAAAATCTGAAACGAAATTTAAATAACGTGCGGATTCTGGATTATTTTGAATAACACGATGTGAAATCACAATATCATGTCCAGTTCTAGTTCTAGTTCTTCTGATTCGCCTTCAAAAAGCGAAAGTGACAGTGAAACATCAGTTAAATCCAGAAAATATAGTGACAAAACAAAGAAATATCGCCGGAGGTCGCGATTTTATTATCACGAATATGACGATAAAAGAAAAAGAAAGAGAAGACGAAGTCGTTCTTCATCGTTGCGTTCTCGATCAAGGCACAGATCTAGACACAGATCTAGACACAGATCTAGACACAGGTCTAGGAATAGATCAATAGACAGACGTTCACACAGTCACTCGCCCAGAGAAAAGGTGCGGGGAAACTGACACAAACAGATGCGCATTGTTGCGCTGGCTTCCCAGTTTCCGCATACAACACAAGTGAAGGTAATTATTTGCTATTTGTCTGTTTGAAGTAGCAAAAAATATAAGGTTCAGTGTTGGAACCAGCAAGGTTTTTACTTTTTAGTTTGTTTTTTCTTTGGAGGGGGGT